CCATCCTTGGGTTTTGGGCTGTTGTTTTCTTCCCATTATGACATCTGTTCCTTCCTCTTACTCATATGGTTTTTGCTCCTTTGCTCTGAGTACAAACTTACGTTCTTTCAGTCACGTAACTCCCAGTGCTCTGATGCATTTCTTCCACGCATTCTATTCCTCCTCCATAAAAAGTGTCCAATTCTGAACTCTCCCATTCCCTATTGCCTGGGAATATGGAAGTACCAATTCCTCACTTCTGCCCAAGACAGAGAAATAGGCCAGCAAGAAATATATGCTGAAAGCGAAATCTCCCACGTCTGAGAAGATGAACAGCATTCACTACTGGTCCAGAACTTGCAGCCTCTTGGAAGCCACTGTTTAGCCAGTTAGGGCCATATACACTTCCTACAGTGGAACGGCATGAGATTGTCTCAAAGTTTTGATGCAAGTCTTTTTATCGTAACATTCCTCAAATTTTACAAAATTGAAACCATTTTCTAGGTAATATATTTCTGTGCGACTTCTCAACTTGGCAGAAGCACAGAGGAGTGACAGTCAGCTGGATTTCCTGGCTGCAGGTATAAACACTGACTTTGCCCCCCAAAGGAATAAACTGCTGCCAGCAACCCAAGAAAATTCACAGTTCTCCAGTGAACAGAAAATACTGCCAACAGTTATTTCTTTCTCCCTACCCTGGAGGAACTGAGCTGCTGCCAATTAACATAGCATTTTCCTACACTTTGCAATCCCTTTGAACTTTTTCAGGATTTTAAAGGAAACAGTTTTGTCTCTATGTAAATCTATTCAGTGCAAATCCTAGTCACAAAAAAGGACTGATAACCATAGCAGAAGCCCCTAGACAAGGGAATCTTGTTAGTTTACATCCATTACTTGAAAAATGTAGTATTTATAACTGATTTATACAAAAGCCAAGCAGAATCTAAGTGCAATGGAAAAGAAATCAGAGACTAAGAAATGAAGTGCACATGAGATAAACTACATTCAAAAATTTCATGGACAGGAGATCATATTGCTTTTCATGTTACTGCCCACATTACTACAAGCTGTCTTAAATGAACCATTATTTTCCAGTCAGACTATACTTATGTTATAATTTAAGTATTAATTCTGATGTTTTACCAGTCATTCCTTGAGCAATAGGATTAAATCTGACTATTTTTTCCTACCACATGAACATTCACATTGTTTAATGGCACAGAAACAATTCAGATGAGGGGCAAAGGGACAGAAGGCAAGCAACTTGAATATTGGTATGAGACTGCTGCAAAACGAAAAGCTTCTGTTCCCCAGTTTGATTTTCACCTGTCCATAAATACAGCAAGATACTTGCAGAATTCATCTCTCACTAGACAAAAATACCCTCTTGATTGCCTGAATAACTGCATTATCATCTTTAAAAAATTCTCATAGATGCCTTCTTTATGTAATATGTTAAAAACTCACAAAATCAGCTTCAAGTTTTCCCATTTCTTGTTTGTAGCTTCTCATTCGACTGCTGTACATTCCTCGGCTTTGAGGTGGGATCTCTCGAACTTCAAGTTCCATCTGCTCAAGCTAGCAAGTAAAAATAAAGAGACATGTAAATCAAAAGGGTAATTAAAGCAAGGATGAATTTACCTAAATTGTTCACAAATACAAAGAAATATTCCTTCTTTATCAAGAACGTTGTTTATTCTGCAATATATAAACAATTTATCAAAATCTTTACACAGCCTTAAGTCAACAAATGACAAAATTGATATTATTAACACTTAGAAGGAATTATTTGAGTCAAACATTTCTGGATTTCAATTCCAAATGCGATGAATACATTTTATTACAAGAAAATAGTAAAACTGAGGTTTTACTTCCTGCAAATTAACATAGCTCAAAAGAAAGCCTACCTCTATCTAGTTGTGTGGTTTGCAAAACCCTTGGAGGAAAAAGGTATTTTATTTGTTTTTATACACACACACACATATGTGTACATATGTACATGTATATGTGAATATATGTGTGTGTGTATATAGACATTTCAAGTTTTAGTTACCACCAGCCTCTATGTTTAATAAAATTGTTATTGTTTTTTCAAATACTGGTTACCCAGCAGAATTACAAAGCCTGAACTGACTGCCTACATCTACATCCCAAATCTGTATGTCAGTATATTAAATAGCTGAATATCAGGGTTTAATGACACTACTATTCAAGAACTTGTATACAGCTGAATGCGTTAAAATGCCAGAGATGATAGAGTATCTCTTTCAAAAGCTTCTTCCATTAATTCTTGCCATGTAGAATACTAAGTGGCCTGAAATGCAAGAATATGGCACAGAGGTACAGAAAATCAAAAGGAGTTATAAACCAGGGTTGAGCTGCCTGCTAATTACCTGCCCACTGGGTCATGGAGCCTCAACTACATGGTTCTGTCTGTTCGGGAATTCTGTTTTGCACAGCTGAAGAATCCCTTACCCACCTTTTAAAATCTTCCAACTTACTCTAAAAAAAAGAATACCTCTCCTTGGTTGCCGTAGGCACCTGAAACAATATTTACTCACCTCCTACTGATCTCAGCTGAGCAATATAGCATTGGAACAGAAATGCCTTTCAATTAGGGGCCCAAGCTACTGGATATGGGTCTTCACAAGGGACAGCTACAGTTTATTCCTATGTAGTTGCTTGCTTACACTTTGAAATTCCATCCTCATATCGTAAGAAAAGCATCTGAATTTAATCAATGGAATTACCAGATACTCAAAAGACATTCCGCTTGTTCTATTCTAATTATACAAAATTATATTCAATAATAAACTATAAAGCAGACTTTAATTAAATAATCAGTAATGAATTGAAACATACAAAGCAATTTCTAATTCTACCCAGTTCTTTGGCTCAGGCTTAACTTTCCAAAGGGGTATTATAAATTAAACCGATAGCTGGAGTTAATGGCTTATTTCTTATCAATTTCATCTCAAAATATTTGATCTCAAATGTTCTACAAACATAGAAAACATTCCTCTCATTATGTATATAATTATATGTGCAAGGTCAGGATATATTAATGAAGTCTCAATTCTTATCTATTATATAAAAATGAAACCATCTTCCAGTGAATACAGAAATTGCAGCAAGGATCAGACCACAGTCCATGAAATCCAAAATGCTCATTCTAAAGAGCCAGTATCAGAGAGTGAGATGTCCAAGGAACAATGATAAAGCATGCATATTTAGGTTGACCAAAGTTCAACATTTTTTTTTGTCATCATGAGACTAAACGCGTACATTTTGTGGTGGCTGGGCTTACAAATTTCCATGCAAAGTCATGCAGAAGATAGTGGTCCAAGGAGTTGCAAACCTAAATGCAACCTAATTTCAGGCATCTTCACTTTCAGGCCTCATATTATTGGTCATAAAACTGTATTTTTCATACACAAGCAAGAACAGAGCTAAATTCTACTAAAAATTAAAAATAACCTGGCACTTAAACCTCAAAACATCTGTAGAAGCTCTACATTTCTTCAGTAAACCTAAAGCTCAAAATTCTGTTACTGCTTATGTTCAAACTTGCCACCACTGTGGTGAAGCTGAGCATTTTGGCACCTAACTCTTGCCCAAATTCATAAATCATGCCCCATCTTTAAGGCTCTTCAGGTGTTTAACCCAGTAGGTTTGCTCCTAACACCACCCAGTACACTCCCAGCACCTAATACGGCATAAAGCAGAGCAGCCACTGGTATTTCCATTCAAAAATACAACAAAGTAAGGTAACACTGCTGATGTTGTCCATTGAGACTCCAAAATAAGTCTCCCCCTCCCACAGGAACTCTTCCACAAGGAAATTGCTCTGGAGAGTTGCTAGCGTGTAATGAAACCTGTAAGCTTTGCTATTTAATTCTGATTCTAAAGTTCTGGAACTAAAACAGAGATCTATATTAAAAAAAAAAAAAAAAGTGTCTGAATAAGAATAACCTAGCATTTGCAACAATAAATTTACATGCATTATTACAAAGCCAAGTGTCTAGATAAGAATAGCCTAGCATTTGCAACACAAGAATTTTGTGATGTGTCCCTCATAAAACATAAAGGCAAATAACGCATTTTTTTTCTTAAAAGCAAAATTTCACTCAAAAATGCTAATTCCAGCTCTTCTAGCACATGCTAGATTTTACACTCAAAGAATTTCCCTAAGGTTATTATAACAGTCACCTTTTTTAAAAACCTGGTAAAAATAAAATTCAGGTACTCCACAAGGGACGTAAAATGACAGGATTTCTCTCCAGAGATCTCTTACTCAACAGCTCTGGCTTGAAAAGGCAGCCTGGACGTCTGAAAAGTTTTGGTGTCAGTTCTGCACATAGATCAAATCAATTACACCAGTGACTTTACCCTAACAAAGCAGACAGTGTTTTGAAACAACCAATGGTTAGTCAATGTAAATAAATTATCTCTACAATAATATTTATAATATTTTTCTAATGAAAGTGTTATTTTCTAGCCAAGAAGGAAATAAAACACCACCAGCTAAACCCAGCTTTGACTACTCAAGACAATGAAGCAAACCAACATATGAAAACTATCAGTAGCAAGGAATTACGTTTATTTTTTTTTTCTACTGTAGCCTTTAGTTTAAAAGAGGATCTTTGTAATCAGTTTTGTTATTAGCAGGTTTGTTCAAATTGATTTTTAAAACCCAAGCCTTGACATTAATCACAAACATGTTAGGTAATCGCTTAAAGCCAATAATTGACTTAAGCACCTGCCTAGCAGAGTTAGCAACAAGATCTAAAACAAAAGCGTGAAAGAAAAGCCAGTACATTAAATGAAGATCATCATTAGGATAAAAGTACAGATACAGGATTTACTTTTTAATCTTAAAATAAATACAAGTTTAGATTATCTTCTTCTGACATAGGAAGAAAAGTAATGAGCCATTAACTCAATTTCTGCGCTTTCCAATCTTACTTTGAGTAGAAAACCAAATTTGAATTATTTTTCATCAGACCACCCATGCTACAATTTCCCTGTACTGCTATGCTTTTTTGCCATGTCAAGTTGTAGTGAAAAGGAAATGAAAAACATTTCTAGATTTTTTACTTTCTTTCAGCTGTTTGAATATGAAAGAGCCAAAAGGCCTTAATATATCTTCAGAACACCCTCATGAGATGGGACAGTACTTCTACTGTGTTTCTCACTGAGAATACCAAATCAGAAAGGTTAGGCACCTTGCCATCCTCACAGAGTAAACCTGCAGTGGAGTCATCCCAAGATCCAGCTTTCCTGGATGCTACTCCAATGCTCTGGTCTACAACAATTCTTAAACCAAAAGCACCAGATATGTGAACAAACACTCTAGAGACATTTTTCTTCCTATGCCTCTTTAAAAAGTGAATTTCAATATTACTGTTTAGTTAGTAACCAAATCATTTATTCAAGTTGCTCAATTATAAGAACTTTCAGGCTAGGAGAACTACTTTCCTTTCCCTATCCTAACAGTCAGATTACATTTTTGAAACTGGAGAGACCAAACTAATTTGCAAGCAATAAACAAAAGCAACTTCAGGCAAGGAACTATTTGCTATGCAGGAAAAAGTCAGTCTCAACTGTCACCAGCACCTTTGCTCAGTTAGGCCACATCTACAAAACTTTACTTTTATACTCCATCCAGATGGAGGACACAACAGGCTGTAATGGGAACAAATTACAAAAAAAAAAAAAAAAGTCACAACTCCTTAACATACATTGCTTTCTTCTGTCAGCGCAGAAGACTAACCACTGCTTGGTTAACATATATACTCTTCTCGGATCAGTAGCCCACACTACCATTGCCCCCTTGACCTCAGACAACTAAATATCTTTATGTCTCACTTGCTAAAAGAAAAAAAGATCTACTGCTCTACAAGACAATCAGACAGATTAAATCAAGCAGACGCATGGGTCCTACAAGAAAAAAAAAACCACGAACAGTCCAGGTGTGTAAATATTTAATTCAGTTCCTAAAGTAAAAGACGTAATCCACAACTCAAAGCCTGTAGCAGTCTGTAATATCTTACAGCAATAATGCAAACCTTAAATCACTTAACACAAGATTAACAAAGGATACACTCCTCTTGGGTATTTCCTATCTTCAAATAAGGACTATTTCAAAAATATTATTTCATTTTCTAATATATTATTGTTAAGCATTTTTAGGGCATCATGTGTGTTAAATGTTACCACTAATGATCCTATTACTTTTCCTGGGAATTTGCAGTTAACATATGAAAAGCCAAAACGTACCAGTTCCCTTGCTTCTTCGAGCTGTTTCTCAACATTTGCAACCATCTGCTTCTTGTCATCTGAAACAGAATTGTGAAAATACCAATGTAATTGTGCTCTTGCCATGAAAGAAAAATAGACCATTTCAAAAGCTTATATGTATCAGCTAAAACTGACTCAAGGGATTTATTCTGTGTGACATCATCACACACTGTGATACCCACGTTAGTAATAAAAAAAAAACCCAAACACAAAAAAAACCCAAGATTGGAGAACCCTTGAAGTCTTCTGCTTTGTTGTGCAGCATTTGCTAGTTAGGAAAGCAGTTACAGCCACTCCAGGTGTAGGAGTTATGCCTCAGCAGGCGCTTGCTAGGTGCGTACAAATGCATGAGAAGGCACATACTTAGTCAAATGGAAAAAAAATATGGTTTAAGAACAAAGGCTTATCCTATTTATTTGCAAAATGTGAGATGCACAAAACCAAGCATCCCACTTATAATGAATCCAGGTACTGAAGAGAAATGAGATTTCTATTCCCCTGCTCCTATGCTGGGACTAGAACCCTGTTTCTTCTTCTTCAACAGGAACAAAATGAAAAGCCACGGGAACTATAAGAAAAGCACTGTCTTCTAGTAACAATGTAAATTAGTAATAAAAGATGAAATTTTAAAAAATTAAAATAATTTATAAGCTATATGTAGCAATCATCATCTGCCAAGTTCCCCAACAAGTCTATATCCCAGCTTATAGTGGTTTAACCCCAGCCAGCGACTGAGCATCACACAGCCGCTTGCTCACTCCCCCCCTCTCCTGGTGGGATGGCAGAGAGAATTGGAAGAATAAAAGTGAGAAGAGGCATGGGCTGAGATAAGAACAGTTTAATAATTGAAATAAAATAAAATAGTAGTAGTAGTAATAATAATAAATAATAATAGAATATACAAAGCAAACAATGCACAATGTAATTGCTCACCACCTGCTGACCAATGCCCAGCCTGTCCCTGAGCAGCAGCCCCCCCAGCCAGCGCTCCCCTTATTTATATACTGAGCATGACATCATATGGTATGGGATATCCCTTTGGCAAGTTTGGGTCAGCTGTCCTGGCTGTGCCCCCTCCCAGCTTCTTGAGCATCTCCAGCCTTCTCAGTTGATAGAGCATGCAAAGCTGAAAAGTCCTTGGCTTAGTGTAAGCACTGCGGAGCAACAATTAAAACATCAGTTTTAATTATTCTCATACCAAATCCTAACTCTCATACTAAAACACAGCACTGTGCCAGCTGCTAGGAAGTAAATTAACTCTATCCCAGCCAAAACCAGGACACAGCTATAGAGAGCATGTCGACCTGCCTCTAACCATCCATTCTCGGGCAGAGAATCCAACATGAACTAAGAACTGAGATTCATCATCGCATCTGCCAAATATTCCAATTGCTTGACCACTTGGTTTGTCGCAGCCTGAAAGGCTTTCTGAGGAATATTCAGTCACTGGATAATAAAAAGTCCCCAATTTGCTTAACTACTGCAGGCGTTCAGGGGCTGCAATACTGCTGTTTGCACCACCTTGTGCCCCTGTCATGGCCACATCTTCCATCCTTCTGACTGTAAATCCACACATCGTCTCAATGAAGTTAACAACAAAACTCTGAACATAACAACCCTTTACACCACTGTTCATTTGAAACCAAGAGCATCATGAGACATCAGTGCTGGTGGGTTGCCTGAAGAAGCAGATAAAAAGTGAATTGCACAAAAGCATCTCCCGTCATTACTCCCCAGAGATCATGATGGATAAGTCTACGTTGGCACAAGAGACTTTATTGTGTGTCTTTAGACTTCACAGTTTTTTTTTTAGCCTGAATTCCTTTGCTTCTCTTCCACATGATCTCTTTGTATCCTAGAAATGACACATTAAAGACCAAAAGGGACTGATGATCTCCTTTTGATCTTCTGCATGCCACAAGAATTTCAAGAGGGACCCCCTTTATTAAATGTATGTAATTTAGCTTCTCACAGGCTGAAATGTTTTATTTTTGAGCAAACTTAGTGCCATAGGCAGGAATCAGGGGATGCTGAGGTAGCAACAAACTAGAATTTCTGCCATATAAAGTAAAACGTGCCCTTAACCTTCCTTAAAAGCAACAGAACCACTTGTGAAAGCACTATATTGCAAACATTTTTGGTGAAGCATCCCCAGCATCAGCAAGTCATGTTTCAGCTCAGCTCTCCCACAGTACCCTGCATCACATTTGCATGGGCCTCTCCATCCATCTCCTCATTTACCTAAGATACTCTACACTCTCATTTAAGGACATGTGAACATCATGATCTGTCCTTCTTCATTTACATACATTGGAGGTCTGCCCGCAGAAAGGATCAGGTTCAGGATCATCTTTCCACCTTTAAGATAAAGCAGAAATTTTTGCAAATGACCAGCTATGCAAGGACTAGAAAGCTGTCTTCTGAGGATGCAACAATATTGTCTGGCAAAACACAGCTAGAATAAAATCTTGAAGAATAATGAAGCTCTCTGAGTAAAGGGAACTCTGCCAGTGAGACAAGTGCGAAGTTAGAGCTCACCTCTAAATCCTCCCAGAGTTTCCCTTCTTACCCTTGAAAGAGGCCCAGAATTTCATCAAGTAATCCCCTCTACAAAGCTAAAGCTATGCAAAACCAGCATCTTGCAAATCTGGAACTCACACTACCACGTCTGGTGGATTCCACTCCAGCAGAAGATGTAGGAAATGCTCATTTCTGTGCAGCATTTTCAGTTCTCTGCTAGCAATGTCTGTCTTTAATTCCCCACCAGGTTCTCATGATGGCACACAAGCCAGAAAAGGAAATGGTTAGTGATTTATCTTCCTAACACAACTAAACTCAGAAGAAAAGAGAATCTGCCACTTGTTTGTCCGCACATTTCAATACTCCTACCCAGAATCCTTAAACACCTCTGTTCTTTCCTTCATTTGGAAGTGGGCAAGATGACAACGGACAAAAGGAAAAACATTGTAAGATATAAAACACACAAGAGCATTTTATTGGAGCTGAAATAAAATTTTAAAATATAGCAGCAGAAAACAAATGTACTATAGAAATTTCAGTATTTCCCTGAGTTTTACTGGATTACAATTTCCACAGACATTAAGTAACATGAAATTTAGGGACATAAAGTGGAGTTTGGGGGAAGATACTTCATGCTGTACAAATTCTGTCTGTACTTGTGATTACAAGAACTACCTAGCACTCCACTGACCAGTAAGATCTTACCTACCCACAGACATATTAAGGTACGGACCTTTGGTTGGGAAAATGCATTAGTACACAAGGAGGTCTGGCTGAAACTGTTCCCGTAAACCATCTTCATTGGTTTAGTTAATTAAACTTTAACCCAGCTCCAGAGTTACATTTTAACATCATCCCAGATTTATCAATACATAATCAGCCAGCTGGTGACCAAAGGAACTGCTGGGAGCGAGGCCTACTGACAACAGGCCTTTGCTGTTCCTTCAAATACAGATGTGTCAGCAGGCACATGGCAACATCCCAGCACCGCAGCTTTGGAGCAATATCCTCACAGATTTCCAGGAAAGCAGCTGAACTTGTTGCAACTGCTGATCCTCTAGGGAACACAACACCACATAGTCCCCAGAGCAAGAAGGGGTGGCAGGATCCAGCAGAGTCACTTTGGTAAGGACAAGCAAGTGTACCAAAGTGTAAGTATCACCCACTTGGTTTCGCTTTCCTCTCTTCCTCTACCTGCATCCATGTAAAATCCTGGTGGGAGTATGCTGCCTGGAGCCACTTGCCTGCAGGACTCCTAATACCTCTAGACCTGCTATTGATATCAGCAACAGAAGCATTCACAACACACTGTCAATCAGAAAGCACATGCTGGAATGGTTTTCAAATAATTTACTTTCACTTTTACTGCTGTGGTTAACCTGAAGTAACAACTTATCTCACAGTCAGAATCCCCACAGAAAGGAGGCCACGATATCCACAGGATGACTCGCTCAGAGACTGCAGATGAGGTCAGAGGGAGTTACTCAGAGTAGGATAAGCTTGCCACTAATCTAGTAGATCAGGACAAACAAGTTGTGATCCAACTAAAGATCCTCATATTGCTAACCGTGACACAACTGTGTCTCTAGTTTTCAATCTGTCTACTTCATCTTTTCCTTAAATACACTCCCATCATATGAAATAATGAAAAGGGGGGTTGTAACTTTTTTCTTATTTCTGAATTGATCATATCCTTTAAAGAAAATAAAAAACAATGCTCCATCAAATATATCTAAATTTAGGATAGAATTTTTGTCTCCACATTGCCAGACAGAACGTCCTGAAGAAAATATTGCACATAGGTTGTATAATTTAACTGGACAAATTGACAAAATACGGATAAAGATTGGAAAGAAAAGTAGTTTTTTCCTCTGGGTAAGGACCGAAAACACAGAAATCTGTTCTGTGTTTGTACACAAGGTTGTATCACTTTCTTAAAATAAACAAGCTTTTACTACATTTTCTTCAGTTCTTTCAGCTTTGCCCTTGCATTAGTCATTGTTTTGTCTCCCAAAATACAGCACTTACAGAGAGGCAGAAATCTCCCTACAAGTGTAGAAAGACAACACAGCACCAGTTCGATCTCATGACCAATAAAGAGATTAAAAGAAAATCTGGACCAAGACCGAGTAGTCTCATTGCTCATGGAATTGCTTCTTTTTATTAGTATGTGCTGAGGAAGAGACTGAGTAACAAAGGGCTTCAGTTCATAGACCACTTGCAGATTTTGCTACGCTGGCTGAGGCGGTTTACCTGTTCACCACTGCCAGAAGTTACTGTCCAGCAGCAGAGACAAATGGAACAATACATGCATTTCTCTCTTTGGGTTATAAAACCGGGCTCAAGAGGCACAACATAATGAGCCAGACCTGAAATGGAGACAGTAAATTCCAGTACAGGGGTACAACAGAAGATTAAAGGTGGGACTTTCTTCAGCTAAATCTGTTAGAGACTGATATACAGTGCTTTGACTGCCCAGTAGAAAATACAGGTATCGAGTTATCAGAAGAATGACAGCACTCAAGTCTAAAACCACCACAACCCAGAGGCTTCTGTGCTGGGAGAAGGCTAAGTATCACCATTTGTGCCGATAAAACTCTCAGATCAGGCAATCAAAATATATATAAACTTTTGGTCAAATCACAAGACAGATATTTCTCTGGAACACCGAGGAACACATCAGCCAATGATCTTCGTTCTTCAAAGACCTGCAGCAGCATCGCAGAAAATCTATTTAAAAGCCACTTCTCTGCTTAGAACACTTTCTTTAACTCTCCAGATGATGCTTTCCTCAACAGAAGACATTTCTTCCCAAGATGTTCTATTGTCCCTGCTGCTTATTGTTTCTGTAGTATCAGAGTGCCTTTGTTACATTTCTTGCTGAACTATTTATGCATTTGTTGACAATAGGATTGTTTGTTGAGCCACCATCCTCCTAGAACACAAAACAGCATCAAGTCCTAACAACACCAAATGCAGGAACGTTGCAAAAACAATGAACCAGTATTTCTCCAATTCAACTGAACGCGAATCTTACAGCAGGTCCATCTGGGGCAGCAGAACGAAATAAACCAGTCACTAGCCTTCAGGAGATCTCTCTCTGTATTATGCAGAAGTAGCACAAGTCCTTACACCTTCCGTCCTGCTTCTTCCAGCGTGGAGGAAGAAGGCCATCAGCAATCTCTCTCAAATCACTGCTGCTGAAAACTGCCACCTCACGTGCATCTCTCCTCAGGTCCCCCTCCCACCTCATAATCCTCTTTTTGAGGCTCTCCCAGACATCTCCACAAGAACTAACTGGAACTTCTGGTGATGAAGAAGCAAAGATCTTGCAAATATTCCTATTGAGAAACAAGGGAAAAATGTGTATTTAAAATATTTCTGATCAAAGTGTTCAGCATAGTCAGAGATTCTTTTTTTTTCCAGGTGGTCAAATGCCTCTATTAACCAAGATTGCAATTTGTTTTGAAGTCACGTGATTTTTTTGCTGATGAAAGACAGAATAGCTCTGAAAATTGAAGCAACGCACTCACTCATAAATGTACAACGCAAGAAGTAGCTATAATGCAAGCCAATCCAAACCATGTACGACCAGCCTCAAATCCTAACATGGAAAAGCCACCTCTTAAAAAAAAAGAAATAAAAAAAAATTAACCATTGTCTTATCTGGAAGCCATTTAGCCCAGTACTACCCTCCTGGTCCTGCAGGGAGCATGTATTCTTTCTCCTCTGAGAGGATGGCAAATTCTAAATAAACCTCCTAGCAGCCATGTAAAAGAATCATGATGTCAAAGCCTGCTGCTTCTAGACTATGTCACTGTTTAAGACAATTCTCTTTAAACATCTCCTATTTAAGCTCCAAAGTCTCCCTAAGTGAATAAGGGAGACTGATTCAAGGAGAGGATTATGGAAATCCACTACTACTACTATTACTAAGCAGAATATTCTTCCTACTATTGAACAAGGCACTGATGACTTCCAAAATCTATACAATTAGGAAATTAAATCTCTATTCTTCTTCCATAAATCAGTGTAGCACTACTGACTTTCAGAAGAGGAGCCAGTAGTGTATTTATGATGTCTCCCTGTTCCTCTGTTTAAAAGCGAACAAGCCTTTGTGAGGCAGTGGGAAATACTGCCTTGATCAGGTATTGTAGCGAAGAATTCACTGCATCCCCTCAGTAAATTGTTCCAGTGGCCATTTACAGGTTAAATATAATTTCTGAGCAGACTAAATTACACCAGTTCGAAATTTCAATCACAGGAACTCTTTGGATCTCTCCCTTCTTCATTTTGTAAGTCTCCGTTACAAAATAGAAAAAGCTTTCTACCTCATAAGTACCTGCAGATTGTGACTGAATTAATCCCTCGTGTCCTTTTTGTTAAGCTCAACAGCAAAATAGCTTTGTTAAGCTGATGAAAAGGCACAGTTTCGTGTCTTTAATTATGCCTGTGATTGGTCACTGAACCCCAGTTTATCAGAAGACTTTCTAACTTGCTAGGATTAGAATTGGCCATAACCTTCCAGAATCAGACAGATTTTTACTCAAAATCCCTATTTATTAATTTCAGGTGTATTTTGGACCTCTGAATTAATGTTGCACCAAGATCCCACGTTTTAATTGACCACCTACCTCAAATCCTGTTTAGTCACTACTTCATCACTTCATGATGCATTTCCCACTCTAAAAGTAGGACATTATCTTTGGTCCTGGATGCGTATTTTTTCCTTTAGTCATATGCAAAAGTACACCATTAGTGTGTATTTATTCCCTCCTTATATGTTATCCACACCTACGGCTTAAGTGTCCTAAAGCTTTGGGAAATGCGCATAGGAAGCAGAAATATTTAATGACCTGGAAACAGATGGAGCATTAAGCTGAGCTACAAGAGGGACAGACAAGAAATCCACTATTTTCAGCCTCCCCCTGTCTTGTACTAGGAGCCCTACGTCAGGGCACCGATTCGTATGCGCTAGAAGATTGAGCTGGACTGGCTAAAGAGATTATCACTTTCAGCTTTCTACCCTAACACTCTTCCAAGCCATGATTGTCTCTACTGCAGGGATACGTCATGGATCAGACCATGAACGCTGCAGACTACTGACAAACGCATGAAAGTAAATGAACACTGATTTCTTTGGATCTGCTCCTACGTGCGAGTCGCTACAGTCACTTATCCAAATCAAATGTTTTAACAGCAGGCAGCAAAAATACAGATTTGAGTTAAGTCACGCACAAACCCTGTCTAAGCCACGTGAAAAAGACTTGATGTCCATTACTGATGTTGTGGCACGATCACAATAAAAAGCGTTCAGTAGCAATGGTGGTACGGGAAACATCCACCCTGCTCTGCCTGCCCCCTGCTCTGCTCAGCCCTCCGGCTGCGCTGCCCCAAACTTTGCGTGGGCCCGCAGCAAGTCGGGAGGGAAGGGCTGATCGCGACAGGCGACCAGCACACCGGATTCTATCGGGTTGCGCTTAACACGCTTCATGAGACAACTCGCTGCTGGAACAGCCGTGCACCCGGCGCAGGGAGGCGAATCCTGACTCTGCTGTGTGAGGAGCAAGAGAACACATTCGGGTGACGGGACA